TTATTAATATTTATATTATTATTATTAATTGTATTATTATTATTTTTCCTTAAAGCATATTTAATTTCATAGAAAACCTTTAATATTTTATAGCTTATCAGTCATTAGGCTTTTTTTTTTGCTTTATTTTCAACCAGCGATCAAGCCAGTAAGTCTGTTATAGGGTTGGACCAAACCATTTAACAATGACAGGGGGGCTTATTATGGTCAGCTTTTATTCATTGATGCAAATTTTTTATCCCAAAAGGAAGAAACATGTTGCGGTAACTGCTTAAAAAGTGTTAGCTGGAGTTCAGTTTTAATATGTTAGTCAAGTCCATCTAAATCTGCTAGAGCATCCAACTAACCCTCTTCAGAGTAGGACAATGCTGCTGTCCAATGCTCCTCCATAGAGTGGGGCCACCCTAGGACAGACCTGATTAGATCCGCAAGTGAAAATAAAGGGGAAAAAAATGAATGCAGCCACAACATTTAGGGCCCATTTACACCAGAATATACATTAACTGCACAGTGTCTGGTGTGAGGTGTCCTACTATAGAGCCACAAGTGCTGATCACACTGTGTTCTTTTTTTAAAATTAGAACTCTATTGAAATGTAATAAAAAATTACCAGAGACTGAACATACCGCAGTCCATGGTCAGAGACTGTGGGCATGCTACAGGGGATTGTCAAAGACTGCAGACCTAGAGACCAAGGACATGCTACAGGGGCCTTAAGAGACTAGGAACATGTGTCAAGGGGCGGCTAGAAATGACTGCCATAGTAGCCAGCACTCGTTACAACCCTTTTAAAAATGTGCTGTCGTCATAATTGATATTCCTGTCAGCAAGATCCATTATAAAGTATTAGACAAATAAAATACACAAAAAGAGAAAAAATAAATTGGAAACCACTGAAAAAGTGAGGAAGTGTGAAAAAAAGAAACAAAGCAAATCATTTGGCCTGTAGAATCCAGTCTAATGAATGCTTATCTTCACCGTTCCTTTGTAAGCACATAGGCAAGGAAAATGCTGACTACAGCCTGGTGAGAAGGGGGCTGAGGGTCACATAGTAAGTATGAAAGGGTCATATGCAGCCCTAGGGCCAGGGTCCTAGAATGTAATATTGTAGCTGTATCCTTCTACGATTGTATGTGCATCAAATCATATTGTAGATCTTGCAATTGAATTATTACATGTATTTCATACTGTTTAGAAGTGCAGATAACACAATATTATAATACTAACTTTCTACAATGAGTTTGGCACTTGCGGTTGAGTTGCCGATGGAATTGTTGGCAATGCAGCTGTATGTCCCTTCATCAGATAACGTCACATCCTGGATCTCTATGCTCAGAGAATTCTTCATGGAGGTCACCTGGATCCTTTGTTTTGGATCCCAGTGGAAGGGAGAACCGGCGATGAGGACCCTGTCTTTGTACAATGCCAGCTCTGAGAAAGGATTGCTGTCTACGGTACAGTGAACCATGGCCAGGCTCCCCTGCTGGGTCTCCAGGAATGAGGTGAGGACTGGAGTTCTTGGAGGATCTACAAGAGAGAAGAAATGTAAGTGATATTATATAATTTTCAAAGTTATTAACCGGCGCTATAGAGGAAGTATCGGCTAATGCAACTCTGCTCCCTCCGCTGCCGCCGCAGCCTTGCTTTCTACAGCACCGGCTTCCTTTACCATCAGGGACAGTGGTACCAGCGGTGCAGCAGAGGGGACATCAGACAGTGGACAGCGCGGTAGAGTACGGTACCATTTACCGGTACACAGTACAGTACCATTACATTAAGCAGTGCCTTCAGGGGGACAGCAGTTGGTGAAGTATGGTATTGGAGTGCTCACTGTCACTGCGCTGGCTGGAGGGAGTCTCTTGTCATCCCCTTAATACAGCATGATACCATCTCTCCTGCTCTTCAAGTTCCCCCTCACATGCTACCACCAAACTAGGTCTTACTTTCGGGGTAGGTCTTATATTACAGGAATCTTTAAAAATAGTGTTAGGTCTTACTTTCGGGGTAGGCCTTATTTTCGGGAAACAGGGTGACTGTAATTTCAATACAAATTAGTAAACTAAACATGAGATTGTAGTCCATCACAGGAGTGAGGGGTCATGGGGAACAAAAGTACCCCCCCTCCAGAAGGAAGGACAGTGTCAGCACTAATTCAGAGATGATGTGAGGAACTACAGCCGAGTGATACACAAATAAGATACATTGTGATTAATAGTTCAGGTACTTGAATGTATTTTTTAAAATGTAACTCCTGAGTTTAGTGTCACTCCATTATTAAATTATTTATTTATTCTTTTGAGTAGGATGAATAAGCCATTGCTCCCAAAATTACCTTGACAATTAGATTTAACCAAGGCAAAATGAGGCAACACAGGAGGAGATCACATACAATCTGTCCTTTCTTTTATCTTATTCCTTTTTGTGCTCAAAGGTGGTCACTTAAAAGTATAACAAGCAGCACAACTGAAGTATAAAGGCTTGGGCTCCTGATAGGAACTGCAAGATGTTCTGCAGCCTAACTACCATTGGTTTTTTTTTGGTAGGCTCCAAATGGTGGGTTGTATAGTCCAGAGATAACTGCATTTCAAGCTAACAGCATGCTCTTCTTGTGCTTATTACTGGGATAATCAAGTTACTACCATGTAACACAATTTGTTTATGATATGCTTTTATTCATGCTATGGCAATGATATACACACTCTCCCCATGTTAAATTACAAACTTTTTGAATGGTTTTTGGTGGGAACATGATGTCACAGTGATGTCAGGGGGTTGGTGGGAGTTGTTTTCTGTTCATTTGCACTGATGGTTTGGCTATATAAGATCGTTTTTTCTTTAGCTGTATTGTCATTTCAAGTCTGATGAAGGGGACCCTGTTTGGCCCCGAAACGTTGCTATTTGTTTTGACATGAGGCGTCGATAAACAGACGTGTTATTCACTTCAATATGGTGTGCTGGTGACATCTTTAACAAAAAAAATTAAGGGTCTATTCACTAAGCTGCCGTAGGCAGCCAAGTGAATGACCAACCTGAAGTGAAGTGAGCCGAACACTGTTCGGCTAGTCACTTCAGGCTGGTATGGCTGATTTCAGCCGTACATCGGCTGAAATCAGCCGTACATTGGCTTGATTCGCATGGCTTCGGGTCGGCCGAATATGCTCAGCAGCGGCATTCGGCTCGGCTGTTCTGCTCGGGCCCTCAGAGGTACCGAGCAGAACAGAAAAATTGTTTATAAAGTTTTAAAAAAAGTAAATAGAAAACGATTGTGCGGAGCTAGATTTATTTTTTTTCTGACGGCTCCGTGTCAGAATAATAAAAAAAAGAAACAGCAGTGTATCTCTCCTTGGCGGCCGGGAACGGGAGACTCCCGAAGTGCCAGGGAGAGTTTGCTGTTTGGAGATCAGTGTCCCTGGTTAGCAGGTAACCAGGGACGCTGATCTCACTGCAAGTGGCCGGAGCCAGCCCTAAGGTCACGTCTGGCTCCGCCCAGCTGTCAGAAGCAGGCTGTCTGTCGGCCGCTCGGCCAGCTTCAGCTTTCAGCGCGGCTCAGCCGAGCCGAGGCATATGCGTTCAGCTCGACGGAGCCGCTCGGCCACGCTCGGGAGCTATACGGGCTATAGTGAATAGCCCATACAGCACCCCTTCGGTTCTACTGAACCGAAGGGGTCCTGGGGCCGAAGCTAGCTGAAGGATCGGCCGAAGCTACGGCCAGATCCTTCGGCAGCTTCGTGAATAGACCCCTTAGTTTCAAGGGGCATAGCATGTATGCAGTCCCATCATCCCAAGTCTGCTGAAGACAACAGAATATGGGAATTTGTCAGTTCAGCAAATTGACTTGTAGAACATAACGTCACTACAAAAGCCCCCAAGATTTCCCTTAGTTTCAGTCTTGAGGTTTATGATTGTGTCTACAGTAATCCCTCTTGTAACACCTATAATAATTATTACACTCCATAATGCCCAATAACTTACATATTATGTTTAGTAGAACTGGTGGGGAGGAGTCACTTCCTTTGTCGTTTTGCACTGTGCAGTAATAGTAACCGGAATCACTGCTAGCAGCTTCATGGAACACCAGAGACCTCATGGAAACTGTCTTCATCAAGATGTTGTTCTTGTACCAGCTGTATTGGACCTCATCAAGTCTGAGTGCAGGAACGTCACATGTCAGGGTCACGGAAGTCCCTTCTTTTACATCAGGGGATGGACTCACCTCTGTCCTTGCAGCTGTGAAATCAGGAGAGAAAGAGCTTTTAAATACAAACGATTGCAATTAACTTCACCAAGCATTTTTTATATTGAATGGCCACCTGTCATACCTTAGTTATAATTTTACAAAGACCAAAACCCCTTCTACAGGAGTATACAAAATACATATGGCTCCATAAAGTCCCCAATTCACAGTCCTCCTCACATCTTCTCGGAACTTGGCAACAGCAGCAGTGGCAGCTGGCCATGTCTTGGAAAATACATAATATATAGCAGCTGTTGTTAAAGTGTTTAAAGACTGGACTGTCAGGCGAAAATCTGGGTCTGAACATGCAAATTGTGGCCGTCAGTGACTAGTCAATGTTAGGGCAGAACGGAGAGTGGCAAGACTGGTACAAGACAACAGAAGGGCAACAGTGCAGTATCAGATTCCTCGCATCACCTTTCAACATCTCGTGGAGTCACGAGGCGGCCCAACAAAGTCATCTCGTGGAGTTATCTCGTGGCCCAATGAAGTACTGATGGGGTGGTCATAATAATCTGGCCACTCAGTGTACACAAAACCATAATGGATCACAAAATAAAAGGGAAATGTTAAAGCCAACGTTTACATTTGTACTGGTACATGTGGTACCAGTGAGTTCTAAATGTGTGTGTATGCTTGCAAATTACCTCTTAATCGGGGATGAGCAGAGTGATTTTGATAACATTTATTTTGTGGATGTTGAATTCTACACAATATTTATGGTGCTGCCTTTCCTTCCCCTGGGCCATAGGATTTTCTCCCTCCACATCCTGTTGCCATCAACAGCACCCTATCCCTGCTGTAGGCTGTAGGGTATCTTATAGAAAATTTAGTATCAGGATTTAGTATCAAAATTCGCCCTCCATAGGCTTCAGTGCGATTCAAAAAATTCACTGTTCGGATTTAAAAAATTTCAGGAATTCACACACTCCCAGCAATTCAAACCCCTGGCTGATTTATCCGTCCCTAGTACCTAGAGCAGGGGGTCATTAGTGACAGTTCTGTCAGGACCCTGATCTCTGGCCTGCACTGAGTTAAGGCTGAGTTATGGCATCCTAGCAACCATTGATATCAGTCAGAGTTGGCTGCTACAACTACAAGTGATTTGAGTCGGGTGTACAGCCACCCAGATCACTTGTACTAGCCACAATTATGCCATGCCTATGCCTGCACTCCCCTTGGTTTTCTAGCTCCCTGCTCCTATACTCTTAGCACTTCATGCTTCAGCTGTCAGAAGCTGGCTGAGGTGCCGGGTAAACAAGCACATGCCTGTGCTTGATAGTCTGTATTAGAGGGCAGGAGAGACATCAGAGGTGTGATAGACCCATCTGATGTCTCCGATTCTCCATAAAGAGAACCTGTCATCTCCAAATGCTTTCATATAGTGCTTGTTAGCCACTTTGTGATAAAAGTGAATTGAAACTTTTTTTTCTTTTTTTAATAAGGTGATAAAAAAGTAAAAAATAATAAAATAAAAATGTAAAAAATTAAAACCAACTCTGCTACCCCACCATCTGATTCTAATAAACACGTGTGTGTAGGGCATGCACGTGTATGTGGGGAGGAGGGGTTATGGCTGGAGAATTCTAACAAAAAATGTAAAAAAGAGAATAAACAGTGCGATGCACCACGATCGGCATATCAGCACTATGCCTGGGAACGTTGTAATGCAACTGCTGATGTCAATGCAACATTAGGCCCCGTTCACACCAGGGTGGTTGCGGATCACTGGAGTTTCCACGCAAATTTTAAAAGGGCGGTCTTAGGCATTTTTAATTGCGTTTCAGCGCTGAAACACAATAAAAAATGCCCTGATTAGCGTGGGTCATTGAAATCTATATGGAAACCGCGCTGATCAGCACGGAAAAAAGGGTCAGGGATCGCACTGAGTCACGAGGTCGCATGAACGGTCCCCATAGCAATGTATGGCATCATTCACGTCGGTGGTTTAGCGAGGCCAAATCCACGCAGTTGAACCGCCCAGGTGTGAACTGGTTTCAATTGTGGATCGTGGTACGGACACAAGCTGAGTGATCGTTGACTTTCACAAACTGACTGACTGTCCGGTCTGCGATTCGGACCTCTTCTTGATGAAAATGTTATAGTTTTATACTCCATGAATTTTTATTCACTACTCCCGAGGATAACAATGAATGGCTCATTCACAATCAGACCCTTCCTTTTTTTTGGGCCAAAAACTATATACTAATACTAACAAATGTGTATTTATATATTTATTAATAGATGAAGAACAAAAGTAGAAATTCAACTGTGTCTAAAGCCAAACCTTACTTTATTTTGGATAGAGCAGGAAATGGTTAAAACTCCTAAAAAAAAGGAGTGCCCAATTTTTTTTTCGGTATTAGATACACATGCAAGTTACTTATATAAAACATAAAATTTAGGGGGAAAAAAGGTAGAAGAATCCCCTTCCCCAACACAGGCCCCATTTTCTGCATTTACCAACATGGATCGAGTTCTTCTGGCCCCTTGTGTATCCTATTCTATGCCTGACAAGGTTTCATAAACTAGGATCCACAAGATCTTCGTTTTAGCTATAACTTAACCAAGTAATGCAGATTTTCCGGATCTTGCAGTTGAGATTATAAATTGACCTACATTACAAAACACTGCAAATTTCTATAACATATGTGCAGTATATTCAGCAGATCTGTGGAAAAAAACCCCCCTATGATTTATTTATTGGCAAACAATACATGGAAATAATAACCATGTGGGTTGAGTTTGGCTTTTGTGAGTTGATGTCATTTTTATGAAAACAAGAAAAATCTGCAACCGGATGGATACAGAAAATATAATGTTATATAACCTTATTTTTATTATAGCTATAATCTTAGTATCTGTTCTGCATAGAATCTGGTTTCTTAGTATCTGTTGTTCATGATAACTGTATTCTGAGTTGTGGCATTTCCTCAAATTAATATAAGCAACCAAAGATTGAAGCATAATTTGGACAAGGGAATTTCCACACTGCCAAAGTTTCATTTCCGCCTTTAAAAACATCCCATTTATTATTAAATTGTTAATAAAAAGAGATTTATATTGCGGAGTTTAATTTTTAAATTCCAGACAACTGAAACTTTCATGTACTGCACATGACTATTATGCAATATGGAATTTTCTGGGGATAAAAATAACTTGTATATAAGGCATTGGGGCTATGCAGACTCTTACATAGGTAGAAACACAGACTTTGGGGTGATGCAGTGTCAAACAGGGCCATCTCTATAATGAGGCAGCCTTATGTGGTCACGTGGGGGATGGCTCAGGTGTGCCTACTGCCCCATTTCTGGTCAGAGCGCCGCGGGTTGCTAAGAGCTCTTAGCAATCTGTGGCACTCTGGCCAGCATCCCACCCAGCTCTTAGCAACCAGTGACATCAGCGAGCTGAGCGGGACACCACCCTTTGGTCCCCCGTAATGTACACCACTAAGAACCCCTCGTAACGTGCACCATTAGCACCCCCCCCCAGAGGCCGTCACATGCACTGGCAGCGCAACACCCCCCACCTCAGGTGATGAACAGTGTAGGGACACCCCTGGAGTCCAAACAATATTTCTGTGTATGCTGTAGGAAATCCACAATTTTTGAAACGTCACCAGAAGAAACGTTAAGGTGACATTAAAATCAATCCCCCCAATGCTGCTTTAAGGACTTACCCTAAATAATGGCTCTTGATCCAATCATCTTCTTCCTTCCAGTCATTTTTGGCAGTCCTTCCAGTGCTGGTGATGACCTCTGATCTAGCGCAGACTGCTGTCTCTTCCTGTCCCACGGAGTCTGTCCGGCGTGCACGCTCATGGCTGCACGCATTAACATACACTGTAGCTCTCCTCCTCTCCCCACCTGTGATATCCACTGCGCATGCGCCCACACACATCCTCCTGCACGGCCGCTCGAGAAGCTGGACTCTACAGTCAGGCGAGATCGGCGGAGACTCAGGTAAGTTTTTACCTATTTGGTAACTTTTCAATGCTTTCAAAATATTTTTGCACATATGTACTGCTTGTTATCAGTATACAGGTGAAACTCGAATAATTAGAATATCGTGCAAAAGTAATTGCAGTAAGTGCTGCAAAAGGGGCCCAAACCAAGTACTGAGTACATATGCATGCTTGTACTTTTCAGAGGTCCGATATTGTTCTATGTACAATCCTTGTTTTATTGATTGCATGTAATAATCTACTTTTTTGAGGTTGTGGATTTGGGGTTCTTGGGGTTTTCATGAGCTGTAAGCCATAATCATCACAATTATGAAAAATCTTTCAATGGGGACACATTGGAGAGGACTTACAGAACGTTTAGGACACACATTCTTTCAAACAGGATTTACTTACAGAAGATGATAACCCGCATGGTGTCTGAAGATGCATTTCCAAGGGAGTTGTAAACTTCACATCTATATTCTCCGTGGTCGGTCCTGGAGATGCTGTGAAAAGTCAGGGAAGGCTCTTTGGAAAACTCCTGACCATCCTTGTACCAAATGTATTTGGAGACTGCTGGGTTGCTGCTGTTTACTTGGCAGGTCAGGATCACAGAATCACCCTGTTTAATATTGTCCCCTGGAGAACGGAGGAGGATGCTCACGTTTTTGGGAGAATCTGAGAAATGAGCAGAGGAAATTAGTTATAAATACTCTTCACTCTGAGACCACTTTTAGACATGAGATACAGCACCATACTGATTATACAGTTGATTTCCAGTTGTCATTCATCAATAGAAAATCATCCATAGATAATTTGTACAGATTACTGCTCATTCATAAATCCCAACCCTGTTACAAACCACCTGAGAGTTTTGGGTGTAGGCCCTGTCTATGTTTGTGTTTAGGCTCCTCTTACTTTCTCCATAATACTGTATGAGTAAAACATGTAGCAAGGATGGTAGGAACTCCCCATAATGATCACAGCAAGTGTGAAGACTCAGGAACGCAGTGCAGAGATCTCACCAATAGAGTCTCTGAGAAATATATCAAGCTGCTAATGTATGTGGTTTAACTATTCAACATCTACCAAATACTAAAATAGGAGTTTGGGTGGACTGGCATTTTACCACGTCTTGGAATTTCTGGAGAATATTGGGGATAGCTATAAACCGTTCAAATTTGATGAGTAAGGTAGCCCCAATACAGCAATAATCGAGCAGTGCAGGAACATGAGCATATGTGGTACAAAGTAGCGATGCAGATACAGAATATTTGGGCAAGTACTCGTGTAAACATGGAAAATGAAGCCGGCTTCCCGGCCATTCAGGAAGCCGGAGGCGGGTAATGACTCGCTGCCTGGCTTCCTGATTGGTCGGGAAGCCGGCTCCATGCTGATTGGCTGGGAAGCCAGCTTCCTCGCCATTCGGCATCAATCTGGCCAAACAGGAAGCCGGGCAGTGGGTAATGACCCAGCTTCCTGATTGGCCAGGAAGCCAGCTTCCCAGCTACTCAACATGGAGCCAACCAAACAGTTGACTCAATGCTGATTGGCAGGGAAGCCGGCTTCGCAGCCAATCAGCATGGAGCCGGCCAAACAGCGTGGAGCTGGCTTCCCGGGCAATCAAGAAGCTGGGCAGCACATCATTACCCGCCGCCCGGCTTCCTAATTGACCGGAAATCCGGCTCCATGCTAGCGCAAGTACTTATATCTGTGCTCGGAAATATAGATAGCAGTACTCGATACCGAAAAACTGGTATTGGTGCATCCCCAGTACCAAGTCTCTGAAATATTTGTGTTAGAGAGGTTCTCTAGGTTAGAATCTGCCAGATTTCTCCATCTTGTGTTCATTTTGTGCGTTTTCAGTTTGGTCTGTGTTCTGCTGTGAAGTTTTGATAACCTCGTTGTTGAAGGAAATGTTTTCATACACCAATCTAGTGCTAACACTGTACTTACTAGTAAAGCAGAACTTCATAATTTCTTAGTCTGGCCACAAAAGAGAACATGCAGGCTCACATTTATTAAACACATAAAATGTGTCTTTACATGGCCAATTGTCAGCTTCTTAGTTATGTTCATTAATCTCAGTGAGCAGAGAAAGGGAAATGCAGAAGCAAGAGCTCAAAGTGTTAAAAAATAAAAATAGGTTGGAGCCGAAAGACAATTATGAAGATATGGTGACAGCAATGATAGAGGAAGTCGCTTCATTTAATACTGTAAATAATAGGCATCAGAATTTCAGTATATGAGAATGAATGCTGAAGATGAACCCTTCTTCAAGTAGACCATCTTTGGCCTTCAGTCTAGGAAATGTGGACAATTTTAGCTGCAAGATGAGACCTTTAATGGTCAGGCAAATTAGTGAGAAATTAGTGAGTCAAATTAACAGTCATTATACACTATATTGCCAAAAGTATTGGGACACCCCTTCAACAAATCTATGTTCTGTGGAATTTCCTTTTTACTAAATATCCCATGGTCACCTGTTAGTGGTATTGTAACAAAGTGGAAGCAACTGGGAACAGCAGAAGTCGCCAACTGTCTGCAGAGTCAATAGCTACAGACCTCCAAACTTCGTGTGGCCTTCAGATTGGCACAACAACAGTGCATAGAGAACTTCATGGAATGGGTTTCCATGGCCGAGCAGCTGCATCCAAGCCTTACATCACCAAGTGCAATGCAAAGCGTGGGATGCCGTGGTGTAAAGCACGCCGCCACTGGACTCTAGAGAAGTGGAGACGTGTTCTCTGGAGTGACTAATCCCGCTTCTCTGTCTGGCAATCCGATGGATGTGTCTGGGTTTGGCGGTTGCCAGGAGAACGGTACTTGCCTGACTGCATTGTGCCAAGTGTAAAGTTTGGTGGAGGGGGGATTATGGTGTGGGGTTGTTTTTCAGGGGTTGGGCTTGGCCCCTTAGATCCAGTGAAGGGAACTTTTAACCACTTGCTGACATGGGTGTTTATTCCCTCTTCCTGTATAGGCCATTTTTCAGTATTCAGCGCTTTGGTACTTTGACTGACGTTTATTCCGTCATGCAACGCTGTACTGAAATTATTTTTATACCATTTTTTGGGGACAGATAGAGCTTTTTTTGGTGGTATTTAATCACCACTGGGGTTTTTATTTTTTACTATATAACAAAAAAGTACCGAATATTTTTTTTTAAAAATGGGTTTCCCTTTATTATTTTAGGAAACATTTATTTTTACCCAATTTTTTGGTAAAATATAAAAGGCGGGATCATGTCGGGTAAATAGACACCAAACATGTCAAGCCTTAAAATTGTGCGCTCCCAAAAAAACACCATAGCCAAAATTGGTCATAGGCGACACTTCAAAAGATTTTACCGCTCATCAGTTTAGTATTATCAGTGATTGATGGCCCTAGAGTGATTGCTCTCATTGCGACGTTTGCAGCGATATGTAACACATGCAGCATAATTGGAGCAATCGTTGTTTTCGCATCTAGGCGCATCTAACGCATTTTTGCGCATCTATGTGGGGGTAGGGGACTTTAAAAAAAAATGTGTGAGTTTTTTTTTTGTTTTGTGTGTGTACATTTTTATTTATTTTGTGAGAATTTTTTTTGTTTTAACTTTTTTACACTTAACTTTATTGTTATCACATAGGGTGCTAATAAGTACCCCATGTAAAAACAAATAACAGTTACAGGTCCTCTTTATGGAGACATCAGGGGTCTCTAAGACCGTAGAGTGACAGAGGAATGCGGAAGTGATATAATATACATAACTTCCTGCATTCAGAGACCGGAAGGAGAGCGGAGGGAGATCGGGTACTGAACTCCCTCCGTTCTCAGTGCACAGAGCCACATCGACGGGATGGATGGACACCCGGGATCGCGGCGGGGACAGCGACGGTGACCAGAGGTAAAAACTCAATATTGAACCCTACGGTCTAAGACTGGGATGCCATTAAAGTTCATGCACGTGTAAAGGCAGGCGTCCCAATACTTTTGGCAATATAGTGTAATAACAGGGTGATCTGCAACATGCTACCGCAAACATAGCTCATAAAACCAGAAGTGTTCATACATATGGCAAAGAGGGACCCTATGCTTTATGCCAGCACTTATTTGGGCCAAGGCTCAAGATACAGGGGGCATAGAGAAAGATTCTCTACTTTTGGCCTACGCTGACCTGCAACAGGTTTCTTTTTGATCAAATATCATAGTGATGGGCAATACACTGAGATCTCAGCCATGTGAGATAACGCTTTGGACAGCAACTATTGGAACTGCTAAGGTCATGATTAACATACCCATTAACCTATTTGTGTCAAGTCCTGGCATTATGTCACACTCTCTTTCAATAATACAAAGGTTTCATACTTACGTTTGACATCGAGGGTAACCTCCCTCACTGCAGTTTGGGCTCCGGCAGACACTGCACAGAAAATTGTCTTCTTATGTTCCATCCATGTAAAGCTGGTTGTCAGCTGTTGCGTCATAAGAACAGTAGTTGTGTCCATACGCACATCCTTAGACAAGAATGATCTCTCTGGCGGGTAGCCCTGCCAGTTTAGTGTCACTAGGTCGTCTGGACAAAAGTATGGTGTTGAGCACTGAAAAGTCACCGAAGCACCTTCGTTTATTTGTGGTGGGACCACCACTTCAGGTGGAAGGGGATTATCTATGGAGACAAAAAGTAGATAAATCAATAAATAAAATAATTGCGCTTATATAGTTTAACACCAACACATAAAGGTACACACATTTTAAATATTTTAAATATGTTCTCTATAAGGAAGCATGCAATTTGCATACTTTTAATTGTTAATGATCCAGAGCTCAGTTTTCAATACTATGCACATATCAGTTATTCCATTAATGTCCAGATGTCCTCAAAATACAAACAAATGAAATATTGAATGCAATTAACCAGGAGCCCAAAATTACTCTCATAAATCCACTGGAGATATGATCAGCTCCTAAATCAATAGACTGTCCAGGCCTTAGATGTGTTTACATATTATTATTATTATTATTATTACATAGTATTTATATAGCGCCAACACTTTACAATATAAGGAAGACATTACAATCACAATACAATTCAAGACAAGATGGTAAGGAGGGCCCGGCCCCTGAGGGCTTACAATCAAAAAGAGGAGGGTGAAATGTTACATGAGGAGGGAGCTGTGTGGGGAGGAATTATTTGAGAATGTGATGGTTCAGTGGTTAGGTTGAGGTGGGATAGGCTTCCCTGAAGAGATGAGTCTTTAGGGAACGCCTAAAGGCAGGCAAGGTGGGAGATAGACGGACAGGTTGGGGTAAAGAGTTCCAGAGGATGGGAGAGACTCTAGAGAAGTCCTGGAGGCGAGTATGGGAGGAATTGACTAGGGAGCTGGAAAGCAGGAGGTCTAGGGAAGAGCGGAGTAGACGGTTAGGGTGATATTTTGAGACAAGGTCTGAGATATATCCGGGGGCGGAGTTGTGGACGGCTTTATAAGTTACTGTTAATATTTAGAATTTTATCCTCTGGGCGAGTGGAAGCCAGTGTAGGGATTGGCAGAGGGGGGTTGCAGACACTGAGCGGTTGGTTAGGTGAATGAGTCTGACAGCTGCATTCATGATAGACTGAAGGGGGGAGGCGCCTGTGTAGTGGAAGGCCAATGAGGAGGGAGTTACAATAGTCAAGACGAGATATAACAAGTGAGTGGATGAGTAGTTTGGCGGTTTCATTGGTGAGGAAGGGGCGTCAATCATGTCAATCAATGTCAATTGATCAATCTGAAAACATGACATTTTTTAAGAGAAGGACACAGCAATGGCATTCTCCATAAATCTTTCATAACAGTTTTCTTGATGTATTGGACGCGCAGCTGTGACTCTACATGCATGTCAGGTAACAGACTCCCGGTGCTTGCAAACCAACATCGCTGATCGCGACTAAATTGGAACCTGCTTTAAACTACCTGTGACTACCCGGAAAACAAAAAAACCCTCATCCATGGGAACTTCGATGCTATGAAGTCAAAGACATTTTTATACCATCTTACTAGCTAACAGCTATGTAAAGCGACAAGACCCGGAATCTCCTAGTCATCTGAGACAAACTGGCCCGGAACAACACAGCACATGTGAGTACTCATATGCTGGACTTATAGATTGCATACTTGGAAACCCACCTTTGTGTGGCTACACCTAAGGAGATTATTTATCTTTAACCTAGTGGGACGACATTCCGGTACACAGGGCCGGCACTGAACGAGGATATTTGTATCCCACTTCCAGCATTACATAACTAGCCGGAACCACAAAGGAAATTATTGTTCATTAGCAACATTATTCGTTTGGTATACATTGATTCCAACATCCCGTGGAGGGGTCTATTGACTCTAGCAGCCACTCCAATTTTCATTGATACATTGTCTCCACAACTGGGGTACTTGCGATATTTTTTTCAGTGCTGTCAGCTCAACTTTTTAGAGCAACACTGGTCTATATGTTCATACTTACCAGCAGGTCTGTGAATGTCTGTTTGTAGCGAGTGTGTTATTGGTTGTTAACCAATTTTAATTGGGCTTCTGGTGGTGGTCTGTTGGTCTGTGTTCATGACCCATATTTTAAACTACATCAAATAAAAATTAATATTTTTGTACTACGGTAGGCACTCCGACCCTCATTTAACCCCTTCATGACTGAGCTAGTTTTCGGGTTCTGTTCATAAATGACTGACACATTTTTTACATTTTTGCTGTGTGATTCTTCCACAGCAGTAATATACTTTCTTACGAAATGTACCCACACATATTATATATAGTTTTTTAGAGGACAGATAGGGCTATATAATTATATCACATATGTGTACCTAACCCCTCACTTAGTTTGAATAAAATAAAAAAATTAGGAAAAAAACTAGAAGAAAACACTTTTTTCACAAGTTTTGATTATTATTTTTTTTTTTTAGAATTTTTTTATATTAATTATAGTATAAAAAATATATTTATATATAATTTATATTTTCCTAATTTTGTTTTACACTTTATTTTAATTTTTTTACACTTTGTAAAAAAAATAAAAATAAAATAAAAAAACTTTTTTTTTTCTTGTCAGTTTATATCAAGCAATCACTATGACAGCTTGATAAATTAAATTTTTTATTTTATTTTTGGCTATTAGGCTGATCCAAACTTAGGAACAGCTAATAATAACCTTAGAGACTGATCCTGACTTTAGTCAGATTCAGATCTCACTAAAAGCTCTTTGATCGTGCCTAGACATATACATTGTTATCTTTTGAGTGAAATGTATCTAAACATCGGGCTCTCGAGCTGTCAAAACAAATAGCAGAGAGGTGAGGTGGAGTCACTGCTGCCTCTCTGCTATTTTGAGCTGTCAAATACGGGATCGCAAATTGCGGCCCTCTATTTGCATGTAACGGCTTCATTCTTTCATTACTGAAAGGAAGAAGCTTTTACAAAAAGCTTAATTATTTCATTAATTAATGCCTCAATACTGAGACATTAATGAATGACTGTTAAATGCTGAGAATCAGCAAATACCGGCATTACAAAGCCTGATATAACTCGTCACGTACAGTGTACGTGGCCAGTCATATAGGCACAAAGTGACAGGACGTACACTGTACGTCTCCTGTCACGAAGGGGTTAACTGTCCTCTAGATCATTTCACTCTCTGTTCTTGATGTATTCCATCTTATTGTGTCCTATTAAGAAGTGTTCCCCATATTTGCTACTATTAGGAGAATATAGGTTCTGAGGAAGGGGGCGTGGCCCCGGAAACGCGTAAACCCAGGCTTATTGTGCTGTAACGTAGAAACCACCATTTGTGCAACTCATTCATGCTGCTTTTGATTTTTGCCAGACTGAGGATCAACCTTTGATTTGAAGGCTCAATGTTACCTACTCTTTTATGAGTATCATTCTATTTTTTTGCCATTTATATAATACAAATGTATCTACACTAGGGAAGGCGCCCCTTGTTTTTGTTTTCTCATCAGATATTACAGTCTCCCTGACTAAAGCAGGGCAGCAACTTGTAGAACTTCTGCATATATATTTCTCCAGTGGAGTGGTCATCTCTGGTGCTATTGGCTTTTATTTTCGTGAGGAGAAGGTAGCCCGCTTGAACCTACCTGTCACCTCAAGTCTGGCTCCATTCTTGTCCATCCATCTATCCGCATTTATGATCTCAAATCTGAATATATAGTTTCCCACATCATTTTTCTTAATGTTTTTCACAAGGAGTGTGCAGTTTTTCTTTGAAGCGTCTCCCAAGAATTCCACCCGTCCAACAAACTCAGTGTCTGGTTGATCTCTCGGATGGTAGACCATCTTCCGAGTGCCATCAAAGTCCTTGTACCAGATATTATCAATGCCTTTGTCAGTCCTGACACTACCAGGGTAGTCAAAAGTGCATGGGATGTAGACACAAGAACCTGGGACGCTCTTCAATGTCGCAGGGCAAGTCACTTGCCACTCAGAATCAACCCCTGAAAGCAAATAGAAGACAGAAAACCACAACTGAGACTTCATGCATACCAGGTGTTCATCTTAATTTTAAAGACAACTATACTAGAATACAATACAAAAATACTAGAACGTGTTGTCTAGTAAGAACTCTACAAGGTTCTCTAGGTCTAATGGCTCGTGTTTGACATGCTAGTGAAATCTTGTAGGTAGTTCTTCTAGAATGTTACAGGTGACTTCCTTTGAGGGCTGAGGGCAGGGAGTTTGGATTTGCTTCATTAAAGGAGTTGTATAGTCCCAGCATATCCTATCCCGTTATTATTATTATACAGGATTTATATAGCGCCAACAGTTTGCGCAGCGCTTTACAATATAAGGAAGACATTACAATCACAATACAATTCAAGACAAGATGGCAAGGGGGGCTCTGCCCCTGAGGGCTTACGATCTAAAAGGGAGGGTCCGGTGATACATGAGGAGATAGCTGTGTGGGGATGAATTGTATGAGAATGTGATGGTTGAGTGGTTAGGATTAGGTGGGATAGGCTTCCCTGAAGAGATGAGTCTTAAGGGATCGCCTAAAGGCATTCAGAGTGAGAGATAGACGGATAGGTTGGGGTAAAGAGTTCCAGAGGATGGGAGAGGCTCTAGTGAAGTTATAACATCGACATTGTAATAACAAACAGAAAGAAGCACCCATCCTGTGAAGTACTGTTGATTTATCGATCGTAAAATTCTGATCTCGATAGGTCCCCGGACTATCCAACCACCTCCTGAGGCTGCCTTAGCTTTGATTGGCTGCATCTCAATCTTAAGTTGACCAGCATCCACTGCTTACTAGGTTCTGATGAATGGGGCGTGCCCCAGGAAACGGGTCCACCCCCACACATCACAGCCGATGCCGGTCCCTTTGTATATGCACTGAAGACTCTGAGAAACCTGTTTGGATGTAACTATTATTGACTATAATCGGAAACGTTTTTAACACTGCTATGTTTGTGAGTAGCCCCTTGTCTTTTGTATGGTTTTGAAATAAATCAACAGTACTTCACAGGATGGGCACTTCTTTTTGTTTATTTTTACATGTTGGATGAGAGCGTTCCAATCTGAGGAGGAGCAGCACCCCTGTGACAGGCTGATTGGGAAATCAGTTGTCGGCTGTTAGCGCCGGGGAACTTTTTTTTTTGTATGGGCATTGTAATGCTGTAATATGAGTGTTGCCATCCATCTGCCCAGCACTTTCAATAACTTCCTGGATTCCCAGTCTAATTTGCGTCTCTTTCCCTACTGCTTGATGTTATGCAATCTCCATTTCTCTCCGGCGTCGCGTGGCGGCATGTGCCCTGCCACCAAGATGGTGGTGCGCATGGGCAGAACGCGCCTCCGAGACAGCATAACTATTTGTTTCATCAAACAAAATGAATTAAAAGGTTTTTCCCTTTTCATACGTTTCGCCCGAAATTTATTTTTATGCTCTGTACATGTCTACTTGACTGCATTTTAACATTGATTTTCATACACCCAAATGAGCAAAACACACAGCTCTGTACATACATACAGGTAATTCAGCAGATTTGGGAACTTGGGGTTCTATTGTTACAGCTCAACAAAGCCTGAAATTTAAAATGACTTTAAATTTAAAGTGTGTACTATACCTGCAATACAGAGAAGAACCAGCAGGAGGCACGCCAACATTTTCATTTTTCTTTTCTGTAGGCATCAAAGAGAGGTTATGGTAAATTAAAGGAGAACTCGAGCCATGAGATAAAAATGCGTAGTCCATTGAACAATAAAATAACAAAACCAGTGTTTCCTGCAACTTTCACTGTCAATCCTGAATTACACCCAAAGTATTTATTTTCTGCCACTAGATGTCCTCTGATGGCCAGCATCATACAACTCACTTCCTCTCCTGGACCCACCACCAGCCTTTGACTGGACAGTGACAGGAAAAGCAGCATGGTGATGAGGTCATCTCTCTGACACTCTGTTCTCTCTCTCTTACTTGTCAGTATAAGGGCTCATTCACACGGGAGTCGGCCAGCACGTACAGCTCCATGCTCTATGGGACTACGCGGCCGTACCCGTGCGGGTGCAGTTGAGCCCGAGCCGTAACACACGCACCTGTACAGACCTGCACTTGAGATGAGCGGAGGGGGGCGTATGGCCGCGTAGTGCCATAGAGAAGGACAGGGGCTGTGTACTAATCACACGCAGCACCTGTCCTTCCCGGGAGCTGCCCGATACGGCCGTGCACGCAGCAGAAAAATCAGAGTAAGCAATTTCTGTACAGGAGAGGAGCCAGCACAACTGTACAAGACTGTAGAGAAGGCCGAAATTCATCCTTGACGGTGGACTAGCTGGTATCAGATGGTAGACTCCACACTTGTGACTTCCACAGCCACAGTTATAGTAGTTCAGATTATTATTATATTATTATTATTATTATACAGCATTTATATAGCGCCAACAGTTTGCTCAGTGCTTTATATCACTTATTGGTTTATTGATCTGGTGGCTCCAGTGAAGGGTGCGTGCTTGTTAGCTGAAAGCTTGCATATCATTAAAGTTTCAACCATCCCCAATACTGGTGTTCAGTTCACGCAACCACAGACCTCAATTAATCAGCAGGAAACGTCATATTTAGATTAGTGAAACAAGGCAAAAGTACAAAAACAAATCAATCCACATAGACCCACCAAAAAAGAACTCAAGTAAGATGGGTATTGCACACCTGTATTGCCTAATTTCTCACAACTAGACCATTCTATGTATGACAGGAATGTTTGGTTAAGGGGGACTGTAAAAAATATTCTGGGAAGGGAAACCTGTGAATGATCATTCAGTTTGAGCCAAAAGATAGCAGACTGAATGTGGACCTCCATTTTTTAAACCACTATCATATGGTTTTATGACCATTGACACCTCTATGACATATATTCTATTTATATAGACCCGAGTAAAAGGACCAGACCATTCAGCTTGACATATCGCATCCTGTAGTGGCCAGAATAAAGGAGTACAAGTCAGCCTTATGATTGATGGAGATATTGTTGTGAATAAAGTCGTCCCATTCAGTAATGTTTTTAGCCCGTTAAGTATTACTGGTGAGCATATCTAACAGGTCCATAGAATTTTTTTTAAAGAGCATACGTTTCAAGTTGGATAGATGTGGCGATTCACTGATTATCCAGTTTTGTAGTATACATTTTTTTGCCCCAAGCAGGCATAGATGTTCCCAGCGGTTTGGGGGGGGGTTGCCAGGGGATGTGTGTTCCAGGTAGGGAGTGGAACAGACATAGCAAGCGGTGTACGTCTCGGTGATTACCCATGATGGAACCTATGTAGGACAGTGTTTGGGTCCAGAAAGAATTAATGGTCGGGCAGGTCCAGAAAAGATGTGTGATATCAGGTAAGTGTGCGGCACATTTAGGGTAAGTCTGTCAGTGTAAAAGGATTTGTACAAAGTTGAAAGCATAATAGGCTCTGTGGAGCAATTTAAATTGTATTTCCCTCCAAACTTCACACGTGATGATTTTACGCACTCTAAGCCATCCTGCGGTAAGCATTTCGTGAGCTTCAGCTGGGGGAAGATGGAGAAAAAGCACCCATTGCACTATGTTGTTGGGGACTGAGTGGTTAACGATGTTGTCGTGTTCCCTAAGAATGTTGTAGAGGTGCGATAGGGTTAGTTGCACTAATCGTGTGTAAGTGGCAGGGGGGTTGGTTACTCATGACGGAAAAAGGCTACCGTGTATAAATTGGCTGATTTGATAGTATTGTAGGAAGTGGGACGAAGGGATGTTGTAGTCTCGCCGTAGGGTGGAAAAGGAGGTACCTCGGGGAGATAAAAAGTGTTGTAGGAGGGATAAGCCGTTAACTTCCCAGAGGCGAAATGGTTTAGAGGAGGCACCTTGTGGGAATCCTGGGGTTGAGGTCACTAGCATGAGAGGGGATACGCAACCGGGAATCCCCAAGTATTTACGAATTTCTTTTCATGTGATGATCGTGTCTTTAAAAAGGACATTATGTTTGATTTTGGGAGGAATTAAAGGGAACGGTGTGTGGATGACACCCAATAGGGTGCACACATATTAAACTCCCCCTCCCTCCCAAGTCCACTGCACACATATTAAACTTCCCCCTCCCTCCTTTCCAAGCCCCCTCCCCTGCTTGCATCTTTGCAGGGGGGAGGCACATCATTGTTCCCTGGTTATCTAGTGGTGATTAGTAAGGTCTAGTGCAGACCTTACTAATGATCCATCATTTGGCCGGAGCTCAGAACTGACAGAGCTCCGGCCGGAGCTGAGAGGAGCAGCTCTGCGATCTGCATGCGACAGAGATGCAGACCGTGTACCTGCTCCCGCAAGTCGGGCAAGCGGTCCGTGACCGTGACTTGTCAGCTGGCTGTGGGCCACATAGTACCGGCTCGCTGGCCGGTACTTTGAGACCCCTGCTTTAGTGAATGGGTGGGGTACAACTACCTCTTTACTGATTCACAAGGGGGGCGCATCTGTGAGCCCCTTTATTCAAGGGGTACCCTGATGTGAATAAGGGGGAAGAGGCCCTTGACCTCATCGGCGACCCTTGAAAAGCACCCTCCCAGTGCCAAGGGCTTGTGGCCTGGTATGCCAGGGAGGGCTGATCGCTTGTCCACCCTTTCCTGCCCTGCCAGGCCTGTGCTCGTATCAAGGGTCTGGTTGGGAATTTTAGGGGGGACCCCACATTTTTTTTCCCCATTTTTGGGGTGGGGTTCCTCCTTAAAATTCCTACCAGACCTTAAGGGCCTGGTATGACAATGAGGGGGAATCCCACACACCTTTTTTTTTATTGTAACTTGGGGTCCCTCCTAAAATTCCTACAGACCTAAAGGGTCTAGTATGACTTTTGGGAGGAATCCCACGGTTTAAAAAAAAAATGTTTTATTTTTAAATGGGGTCCCTCCTAACTTTCCTATCACAACTAAAGGGCCTGGTATTGTTTGGGAGGGAGAACTGCACAATTTGTTTTTTCTTTATAAATG